GCTCCTTCGAACACACACACACACACACACACACACACACACACACACACACACACACATCCAACACACACCCAAGACATATTGCAGGTTTTCCAGTTCAACATAGTAATGTAAACTTCTAAAATATATCAAAAATAACTTCTTCTTTTTTTTGTAATCAAAACAGAAACACATAGCCATAGGACCCTCAAATGGTGCAATGGGTATGAAAAATAATCGACGCCGGTGGGGTCAAACTATGTTAAAGACATTGGATAGTTGGGATGATTTTGATGATACAGAATTTGGAATTTCTTATTTTAAGAAGCCTAGCATTGTGGTGTTAAATGAAAAGAAAACAAAAGAATCACTTTTTAGGTAAGATATTACTTTTTTGTGTGTGTGTGGGGGGGTTATTTGTGATTAATATATATATATAGTCTCTCCATCAGGCCCTGATAAATGCTAAATATTTGTATCTTACGCTATTTTCTATGTAGCTTATATTTTCCCAACATGTAGGATTGATTGTGAAATCCTTCTGGAATGCAGACATGATGCCAGCCTCTTAAAGTGGCTGTAGTTAGGCTAAGAAACAGACTTAACCAGAATATGAAAATAATTATACACATTTGCTATCATCTTTTTTTTTTTACAAAGGTACCTGGGCAAATAATTAATTATCACCTCAAAGGTAACTGTAATTGATTATCTGGTTTGCAACTGACTTGCAATAATAATTTACACTTCGGTAATTTGTTTTTCTTGGACTAACAAATGTAGGGTGTGTCAAATTTTTCAGCTTTTAATTTCCAAAGATTAGGGGTGTTCAAAAGTTGTGACATAACTTGGGGTTGTAAAGATATTTTGGTTACTTTAATATAATTTTATAAATACTTCATTGTCATTGTACATATATACACAGTATGCCCATACAACGAAAGATGTGCTTGGTAAGTAACTACATAAATATCATAACTTTTTAACATTTTGTTTACTTCATCAGTGTTTTATATGTCAATTTATTTTTTCCAAAGAGTATGGAATATTCATTTCATTCGAAACAGGATAGCTGCCGGGCTAAGTACAAGCGGCTAATCCATTCACTTTAAGCAATAATGTGCTTGTTTGTTCCTGGGATTTTAATGTACTGATTTTAATGTGCATTTCTAAATAACTCGGGCCAGGGTACTTGAAAGGGCACATCCTTCTTTATTTATCTATCCAGATCTTAAGGACTCCAAGGCAAGGTGGGTGGTTTAATGAGAAATGGCCTTTTTGTGGTAGCACTTTGTCGATTTTACTCCCTAGAGAGGTTTACTCAGGTCCTACACTATGGTGAAGATCTTCTGTTTTTCCCTGGACAATATTTTTGGTAAATGCTTTAAGAAATTCACTATTTTAGCGCTTTTATTATATTGTTTTAGGAGGTATTTATGGTTGTTGTTATTGATGCTTTTTTGATTGTAGTCTTGATTCTTTATTGCTTTTTATATTGTTTTACAGCTTTAAAATACTGTTTTAATTTTCGTATCTGTACATTACTGAGAGGATTGTAAATATTGAACAGTCTAGAAACACAATAAAAGCCATTGCAATTACAACTGATACAGAATTCATTTTTATTGTATATAGGCATGGCATTGGTGGATTTTCTGAGAGGAAAGCCAAACATCTTTGCCTTGTTTCATACAAAGCAAACAAAAATTATTATTCCTTTAGGTACAAATAAAGTAAAATTCTTCATACTTGTATTTGGAGAAGTTTTGCATTATTTATTATTATTGCTGAGTGCAATTATCTCCTGTAGCTGCGCAACTGTTCCTTACGCCTATTAGCTCTTCGTTGCCGGGCATTCAGGAACAACTCCCTTGGCTCTTCCCCACTGCTCCAATGCATGACATCAGGATCACACTCCCTTGTCTCCTCCCCGCTCAGGCGCCTCCTGATGGTCAACCAGCCTCTCTGCGCCCTGCTCGGAGTCGGAACCCTGTCCAGGGTCCTCCACATCCTCCAGAGCTGACTCATAGGGCCCCTCGCTGTCGGAGTCTGGTGGCAGCTCTAACGGCTCCTGCTGGGCCACAACAGCTATCTATAGTGATATTCACATACATCACAATAATTCTCCACAGGATTAGAACGGATCCGTGTTTGTTACTGTATGGCACAGTAAAAACGCTGTGTTTTTAAATCATGATCAGTTTATTTGGAAAAAGATTTGCTTTCATATATTTTCCTATCCCCACATGTCATTTCTGGCTAAGTACTATTCAACTCTTTGCTGAATTAAAATACAAGAGTCCTAAGATCATAAGAAATCATTGTTTTTCTAGGCTAGGAATTCATTTGTGATGTTCCGTTATCTTTATTTCCAGCGTTCCTGAGTCTAAGTCTCCTACCTCTGGCAGGTCAGGAGAAAATAAAGTTCTGAAGAGAAACGACTCTGGAATATCAACTACTTCGGCAAAACAGTACTATTTGAAACAATCAAGATACGTTCCTGGTAAGAGGCAATTATTTAACCCATTATCAGAGTTAATGAAATGTGTGTGGATGTGCATATATGCTTGTTTATTTCATTTTTGCTGCTTTTTTTGACTTGGAAGTTCCCTGATTAGGGAATTGCTTTCTGCTTACTTGTTTGTCTGATGTTATCCTTGCTTCTCTGGGTGTAGGCTCCTGGAGAGGATATGTTTTGGTCTTTTTGTCGTCTTCTCAGCTTTTGTTATTGTCTCTTTCAAATACAATTTATCTCTAGGTATCTATTGGTGGCTGATGTCTATGAGTGCCAGGTATTTTTGCTCAGTTTCCTAGTTGAAATTGAGGCTGTCAATGTGTTATGCTATTAAGGATTACCTTTTTTCAATTCTGAATCTAAAATTAGTTTCAATTTCCTATTGAAACTAATTTTACATTCAGAATTGGAAAAAAAGTATTCATGAAGCTATTATACTGCGACTTCCTGAGCGATTGATAGATATTAACCTTTAGCATGATGATTTTTTTAAAGGTGTAAATCCTAAGAATGTTTCCTCAGGAGCGGCCACTAAAGAAAGAATCCATGGTACTTGCAACAATCCTTTGTTTTCAAAATCAATAGCACCAATTGGAGGTCTCTCTTTCAATCAGGTTAATGCAGGTAATTAATGTAATGCAGTATTACACATCCTATATTGTTTTTAATGTATTTTATAAAATTTATTGTTATTTCCACAATTATTTTCAAGCATAATGCCCTTTCCCAGTTTTGAATAGGGGTTGGATTTCACATAAAGATGATCACAACATATATGCAACCAGAGGTTGTTTCTAAATTTGATGACATTTCAGCTTTTCAGTAGTAAAAAAAAAAAAGATATTGAAGTTCACAAGATATTATTTCTCCCACATGAAGGTGTGATGTGTCCAAATGGATAAAAGTAAGAGAGAGAGAGCATCAGTGGTGGGTTCCGGGCGGTACAGCCCGGTACGGGTGTACCGGTTGGAGCTGGGAGCAGCGACCACCGTACCGGAATGGTGTTTGGTGGGCCCACCTGCCCGCCCTCATTCCTTACCTGCTTTTAAGGCAACCGGGCCATTTCTGCACGCACGCACAGTGTACGGCGCCTGTGCGACCTCCATCGAGCAACTGGGGCATCACAGGGCGGTGGGTGCGCATGCATGTGCAGTGCGTGTGCCCAAGGTGGACACCCGGCCTCGTTGCAGCATACCAGTTGTGATGGGAGCTGGAACTCACCACTGATGTGCTTATGTGTTTAGATAATTAGGCTGTGTAACTCTTGCTAGATGGCATAAATAGATTTACTGGATTTAAGTCATAGTTTTGACACTGTTATCTCCCCCACTCCCACCCCCACATTACCAATTTCATTTTACTGTAGTCAAGAAGAGTGTATATTAAATGTAATGTTGAGCACAGCCTGGAAGGACTTTTCTTTTCTAGCCAATGAAAATTGCTGATATACCATGTTCATGTAACAAATTCATTTCCATCATTCTTTCATTGGTCTGAAACCAGGTTAGAGAAGAACGTAGAAATTTCCAAATTAAAACGCACTACATTCATATAGGCAGTCCTCATTTAGTGACTGATTGCAATTGGTTCGGGTGACATGTACACTAAGTGACATAGTCTTTAAGCAAGCCATGTGACAGAAAGAGGGAGACGCTGTGAAGTTCACTGCTTGCTGCTGTTGCATTCAGCAGTTAATGTGGGTTCCTTGTGCCTGACACACGTTTGTCTCCCTGGCAAGGCAGAGAGATTGCTTAAAACAGGCCATCTCTTCCTTCTCCCCAGCATAATACTTACCTAAAAGGTGCTAAGGGCAAGTTTTAAGAAGCTCAACTTTGTGACCTTAATTAGTTGATTAAAACCCTCTAGCTGCTGCCTAAAATGGACCAGAGACTATGAATATCTCATTAAACCAAATCTATATATCAGCGATGGCGAACCTTTTTTGGCTCCCGTGCCATAAGTGGGGGGAGCGCAGGGGGGGATCGTGTGCGGGCGTGCTGCACCCATAATGCAATGTGTGACACACACACCCCAGTGCGCATGCGCGCACTACAGGCGCTCCCCAATTTTTGCATGCTTTTTTCGCCCTCCCCAGGCTCCAGAGGCTTTATAGGAGCCTGGGGAGGGCAAAAACAGCCTCCCCCGTCCCCCCCAGAAGCCCTCCGGAGGCTTCCCTGAAGCCTCCAGAGCAGTTAAAACAACTCTCCGAGCAAAGTGGAAGTCACTTCCGGTTTTCTCGGAGGGTCGTTTTGAGTGCTCCGAAGGCTTCAGGGACCTTCAGGAGGCTTCCCTGAAGCCTCCGGAGCAGTCAAAATGACCCTCCGAGCAAAGCGGAAGTCACTTCCGGTTTGCTCAGAGAGTCGTTTTGAGGCTACAGGGAGCTTCAGAAGGCTTCCCTGAAGCCTCTGAAGCAATCAAAATGACTCTCCGAGCAAACAGGAAGTCCGTTTCCGAAGTTCCGGTTTGCCCGTAGGGCTGTTTTTTTTTGTACTCCGGAGGTTTCAGGGATGCTCATGAAGCCTCTGGGGTGTGTGTGTGTGGGGAGGCTCTTTTCGCCCTCCCCAGCCTCCTATAAAGCCTCTGGAGCCTGGGGAGGGCGAAAAATGGCTTTTAAAAAGGGTGAACGCACTGGCCAGCTGACAGGGCAGCGCCTCGTGTGCCCTGACAAATGGCTCCGCGTGCCACCTGTGGCACACGTGCTATAGGTTCGCCATCACTGCTATATATCATCACTCCCACAGAACAACAGCAGGTGTAAAGAGCTCAAAACAATATTCCCACCTAACTTTCCTTCCATTCCTTTCTGCCTTCTTGATACACCATCTCAATTCCTACTTTACTGTTCTTTCTTTCTTTCCCTTCATTCCCCAAAAGCCGGGAATGCTTCAAAATGAAGTATTGGATAGTACCACCTAATATTGTTATATTTTTAATGAATGCTCATGGGGGGCTAAGGAGAGGCCATCAATTTCTGGATGATTTAAAATAAAAGGCTACGGCTGGAAGATTTCTGCGTTCAAAAATTGTACAGTACAAAAACTGAATTCATAGTCTTTGCATAACATTGCAAAGAATTTGGGAGTCGGACAGAATTCGTCACTCTTGGGATAAATTATATATTCTGATAGGGTTATTTATTTAAACAGTTGCCCATCTCAGTTATTGATCTGACTTAGGAAAGGTGCTTCAGAGAAGCAAATGTGAACAGAGGACCTGTCCCTTAGGCATTTAAGCAAGTAATTTCTGGGTTGGTTGGTTGGTTTATTGGATTTATATGCTGCCCTTCTCCCAAGGACTCAGGGCGGCTAGCAACATTTAAAAAAAAAACATATTACAGAAGTTAAAAAAAAAATAGATAGAATATCCCAAAAACAAACCCAATTAAGATTAACAATAACAGTTAAATTTTTTTGATTAAAATTAACAATAATCAATCATTTATTTTATTTTGTTCAGGCCAGGC